ACAGTAAAGGATCAACGTCATCTCTTGGGACAGCTTCAAGTCATTATTACCCAATTAGAGGAGAAAGGGGAGGACGTTGATAGCTCTTGGCTTATCAAAAAGGTTCTGTGTAAGTTCCCTGATGCGCTTAAGCGTAAAGTGATAGCGAAAAAACAAGGAAGCGCATCAACTACCCCTTTTTCGATGAGCTTACTTTTTCAATACCTTGATGAGGTGATAAGCACGGAGGAATTGTTTCTGATGTTTTCAGCCCACGGAGGAAGGTACTACTACCAATGAATCAGGTCCTGAAAGGCCTGATCAAGGGACTCTGCATGTACTGCAGAGGGAGGCACCCACCTCACTACTGCACCAAATATGCCACCCCACAAGAGCGATCGGCCTACCTTCGGCAGCATAGCCTCTGTCTAATATGCGCTTCTCCTTCTCACAATACCAGTCAGTGTAGGGGGCGCATGTGCTTCAAGTGCCAGGGAGCTCACCACACATCTTGCTGCTTCAGAGCCAATAACAAGGTTACTCCTCCGGCCAGATCTTCCATTACTAAGGATATCCGAAATGCAGGAAGTGGCCCAGTAGATGCGTCAAGAAAGGAAAAGGTTCGGGAAAACAATGGTAGCAATGGCAGGACGACAATGAAAGTCAAGTCACATGCCATTACGACCCCCGAAAACGAGGAGTTGGCCCCGGCTGACAAAGAATCGGTAGAAACTGCTGTTATTCAGCAACATTCCACCCCTAACAAGATTTCACCTACGCATCCGTGCTTACCAATAGGGGAAGTAACAGTTGTCGACACCAGAACGAGAGCACTTATGACTGTGAATGTGCTGCTAGATACCGGAGCGGAACTATCCTTCATAGATAGTGCTCTAGCTGAACAACTACAGCTACCGATTATTGCGGTAAAAGATGTTCAGCTTATGACCTTCGGATCAGATGAGGTCAGAAAGTGTCGCTGCAATAGGGTACGCCTGGACGTCTGGGATATAGACGGTAACCCTCATACCCTCGACTTGTTCACCTATCATATCTTGACGCGGCCGCTCGAATCACCAACCCTCACAGTCGACGATATGGAGTTTCTCCGCTCTTCAGGCCTACCAATAACGGGGAATCAAAACAGGCGGAAAATAAAGCCATCCATCCTTTTAGGATGCGATCAGCTGTGGGAGTTTGTGAGAAGCGACAAAACTTCAATAAGCCTACCATCAGGCATGCACGTTTTACCGACGAAAATAGGGTATCTAGTTTCGGGAAAACCAACTCAAAATGGGCATGTACTTCAAATATCACAGCCCCTCCTAGATGACATAGACCAATGGGATACTATTTGGTCGATGGATACGGTCCAGCAAGATACGGAAGACAGTGAAATATCCCAGGACGAGCAAGAAAGATGGGACAAGTTCTGGACATTGGATGCCGCGGGAACGGAACAATTTTCTTGGACAGAGAAGGAGGCTCGGGCTAATCTCGATCAGCAAGTATGGGAGAAATTCAACAATACCATAGAGCGTCGACCAGACGGATATTACGTACGCCTCCCTTGGGTTGAGCACTATCCTTACTTGCCAGACAGCAAAGCTATAGCTTACAAACGTCTAGTCAATGTATGGGCATCAATAAGTAAAGACGAACAACTCCTGGACCAATACAACGAAGTTTTTCAAGATCAACTGCAACGGAACATCATTGAAGTTGCAGAAGAAGGGTCTGAAGTTCAGGGGAATCAAGTCCACTACATTCCGCACCAACCAGTGATTACCCCGCACAAAACTACAACAAAACTGAGAGTCGTTTTTGATGCTTCAGCCCACTATAAGGATTGCCCCTCGTTGAACGACGTACTATATAGGGGACCCGTACTTCTTCCCCGAATACACGGAATCCTGTTACGTTTCGGAATTGGGAAAATAGCAATAATTTCGGACATTGAAAAAGCCTTTCTCCAAGTTCGTTTACAAGAGCGAGATCGTGATGCAACAAGGTGCTTCTGGCTGCGTGACCATAAGTCACCCCCATCGATTAGTAACACCATGACATTTCGTTTCACCAGAGTGACGTTTGGCTTGAAGTCATCTCCTTTTTTACTGGCGGGAACGATCAAGTACCACCTCAATACCTACCAGAGCGAGAATGATTTGACCCAAGATATCAGAAAAAACATGTATGTCGACAATCTCCTGCAGACAACGGACGACCTAGAAGAGGCCATACATGTATACCGTCGGACGAAACAGATTTTCCAAGAGCTTAACATGAATCTGCGGGAATTCTCCTCTAATGATCAGCTTTTGATGGATGCCATAGAAGAACCAGATAGAAGTGCAGAAGCTAATCCGAAAATCTTAGGGCTTGTATGGGATTTACAAGACGATACCACTTCTAGCTTCTTGTCAATTTCCAGACACCCCACTGATGACAAAAAGAACGGTTACGAGTGCCATCGCCTCAATTTATGATCCTCTAGGTTGGATCCTTCCACTTCTCCATCGGGCAAAGGTGTTCCTGCAGGGACTGTGGAAAGAGCAGTATAAGTGGGATCAGCTACTCCCGGAAGCAGGGTCAACCCTATGTTGCTACAAGTAGCAACGGGGGGGGTCGTACTTGGATGGACCCAGAGGGGGGGTCGTACTCTCTCGGTGGCCGGCAGCGGATTTGTGGTAATGTCCCTACTGATCATAACCATGTTTCAGGAAGAGCATGAGAAAGGAATACTCGCAGAAACAGCAGCTGCAAGACATGTAGCATCGTACAAAAAAGTGCCCCCACCATGACATGGGTCCACGCACGTAACCACATTTGAAACTAAAGTGTAGCTGGAGTATTGCCTAAGACAACATGGACAATAGTCAGCACATTACGTTTACGCAAGATTATTGATGCTAGAGCGTTTATAAACCCCTTACTTCCGAATGACCTTCCAAATGAATCAGCGAATCAGGAGTGCGACCGAGGCGTGGCGCACACCAAGACAGGGGGATACCAGTGCAAGCACATGCACAAAGCATTCTGACACATCCTATCGTCAGCACGATCTCGTTTTCCCTGAAGGTTACGGGCAGTGAAACCTAAAAAACCCGCTTTCTTGAAAGAATGGCTTGGAAAATGCCCTTCAAAAAGATGTAGCAACGGGACTAATTTTTGAACTACTGACTTTTAAGAAACTTTTGGGTACTTTTTAGAAAGCTTGAATCCTGTAGTTTCTCATACCGGGTTCAGCTTCCCAAATAAATGAGTTTGAAGGAAGTTATGGTCGTTTAAAGGTTGAAAAGTCGCGGTTTCAGAAAAATAGTTCCGCGAACCCCCCTAAAATGTAGCAACGGGACTAATTTTTGAATTACTCGCTTTTAAAATACCTTTTTTGGGTACTTATTAGGAAGCTTGAATCTTGTAGTTTCTCATACCGGGTTCAGCTTCCCAAATAAATGAGTTTGAAGGAAGTTATGGTCGTTTAAAGCTTGAAAAGTCGCATTTGCACAGAAAAAAGTTTCAACGTGCTAAATTTTTACTAAATTAGCTTTCGATGAAATTTCAGCCATGATTGGAGAGAGAATGAGTTGAATTTTTTAAATCAAATAACTCCGGCGCGAAAAGCTCGAATATGAAGAAAGTTATAGCCCTAAAAAGAGGAAGGTGAAAATTGTAGTGCAAATTCCTTTCTTGTTCAATAAATTAATCATTTCAGATTGTTTAAGAACAAATCCGCTCTAATTAAGAAGGATGACCGTCGGTGATCCAAATCCACCTCCGTCTTCCGAGGAACCTGAAATTTCACGAGGAAAAATTCTTCTACTTCTCGATTTCCCCTTTCGACACCTGTTCCCCTTCAACAAACGCGCCCCACTGCGGTCACCGAGGGCGCGATCCACCACAGAAACGTAACCTGTCAAAAACCTGTCAAACCTTTAGCCCTCAGCCATGAGGTCCGTATCATAAATGACTTTATGTCCTAATTCCATGCCTACGCTGTTTTTCGGAATGGTAACTCGTCTTTTATGAAATTTGAACCGAAATTCAGCATTCTTGTCTAAAAAAGTTTTAATTCATATGATTATTATTGTTTAAGTAATCTTATCACCACTTGAGCTACACACAGGGGGGTCGTACCAAATCGCCCATGAAGGGGGGGGGGTCGTAGAAAAAATCCAAAAAGTAGCAACGATAGGACCGACCCTTCCCGAAAGACAAGGAAAGCGAATGGCTCAATATAGTGGAGGTGGTTCAAGGTTTCAGAAAGAAGAGGCCACGTTATCTTGCAAATAGAGATACAGGGGTTATTCTAGTTGCCTTCGCAGACGCCAGTTCGTCCTCCATGGCAGCATGCGCATACCTATGCTATGGCCACCAGTCTACCCTCCTTATGGCCAAATCCAAGCTTCCATCACTTCAATCGAAATATACTATCCCTAAGTTGGAATTGAACGCTATGACCTTAGCCATGCGACTTTCTAACCATGTCTTCACCGAGCTTAAGGATAGTGTCAATATTGAAGGTATCTACATCTTTTCCGATTCAGAGATCGTACTCAGCTGGCTGAGACAAAACCTTGAACGAGAAGTGGGTCCGTTCGTTTATAGAAGGGTTATGGAAATACGCAATATTGCCCGCTACCTTACGAAGCAGCACACACAAGTTAGAATGGGTTACGTAGCATCACAAGAAAACCCTGCGGACTGTGCTACTCGTGGGCTCACTAGAGAGGAACTGGAAAACCATCAGTGGTGGACAGGTCCGAGCTTCTTGCAAGAGTCGTCTTCTCAATGGCCGAATCAAGACAAGCTTTTCGAGTATCCTCTCGAAATCCAAGATGGTAGTCTAGACCAACTCGGACCTGACAAGATTCTTTCTGTAGCAACAGAGAGTAATAGTAAGAACGAACTTCTTAATCCGGCTCAAGCGCAGAAGCTCACGAAGGCTAAGAGAGTTCTGGGATACGTTCTTCGTTTCCTCAATAATCTGGCTAGGCGTATCAACTTGAAAAACTGCAGATACCTGACACCCTTTATCCCAGTTGATGCACAACATCAAGAAAGGCCAGGCTACCTAACAGCTGCTGAAATCCGAAGAGCGGGACTGGCGCTCATTCGACATCATCAAGCGTCTCACATTACCCCGCAGATAATCAGTTCTTTACAACAGCTAAATATTCAGCAAGATGAGCAGGGTATTCTTCGCTGTTATGGAAGGCTTGGGAAAGCGCAGTTGAGTGCTACCGCCAAGAACCCTATTCTCGTTCTTCAGAAAACATTTTTGGCGGATATAATTATTAGGGAAATCCATCAGAATGGTCATCCGGGCATTAACCATACAATGGCCAAGGTTCGAGAAGAGTACTGGATACCACAGCTGCGCTCGCAAGTTTGTGCAGTGATACGGAAATGTATGTGCACTGCACCCCAAGGAAGGAGCGGTAGTTTTGGTAAACGATCCGGTACAGCCTAGGCATTCCTGGAAAATGGGCATGATACATCAGTTAATAGCTAATGCTCAAGGAACTGTACGAGAAGCTGTTATACGATTACCCACCCATCGGCTAATCCGTCGACCAATAAACTTATTAACTCCCCTGGAACTTGAAGAGGAAGATTCCCATGAAAGTTTTCAACAAAGGGAGCAGTCCTCAGTAGGAGAACGTGATCTGGAGTGCGAAAGAACCACTCAGCTGGACACTACCTCAACAGCTGAAGAAGTGGAAAGAGGTCATAGGTACAATCTTCGTAAGAGAAGACCCGTTGATTACACGAAAGATTCGTACGAGCGCAGAAACACTCCAGGACCCTCGAACATGCTTCTCTTTACCACGTTACTACAGTTGCTAGTTTTTTGGGTCGGAAGCGTCTCGGCAGAAGCAGTCGCAATAGGGAATCACGAGAGCTCACCAGCGACTAGAACAATAACTTGCACAAAAAGGGGGGTTCAACTGCATCTCCCAGAAAAACACCCTTTTGAAATTTGTGCCGATTACCACTGCGTCGAGATTAGAGACCCACAAGAAGTTGAAGTGATAACTTTACCTTCCGAGATCATTCTGCACGAATACAAGATACAATGGAAACTTTCTCTCCCTGGTTCGATAGAAACAATAGAAACATCCTGTCCACCGGCACCATTCTGTCCATCAATAGAATGCACCTTTTGTAGCGCAAATGTATTAAACCCGGAGTGCTGGCCTATGAGAGCTATAATCGCTACTGCCACAATACTCTATTTCTTGATAACTGGATGTTACGTTTTTCTGTACGTACCCCTCACTATCGGGAAACCACTGAGAGTGTTGGCCAATATTCTCTGGACAGCCTTTAAATTTCTCTCTGCCAAGCTGAGAAATCTTAGGCGCCGTCACAGGACGGTTTTCCAACGACGTCGTCTGGTAGAGATTTTGGCAATTATGGCGATACTTACGACCACACAAGGATCCAAATGGGTGTTCACCCACCACTCGAAAATATGCTCTGGTGACAATAGCACACCTTGTCGAATTCAACTTTCCGAAGTCTTTAAAGTTAACGCGTTCAAACGTGAAGCTTGTGTTCGACTTTTGGACAATACCACCCTACTCCATGAAATACGGCTAAGGTGGAAATCGTTAGACCTGTGGTGTGAACCGGGAACGGATTTTTTCACACGAGAAACACAGTATAAAGTAATAGATAGTAAAAGGTGTGCACACGTCGGATCCTGCAATGGAGAGAAGTGTGGAGCGATAAATTCGTCCAGCCTCATTCCAGAACTAGAACAAGGGAATCACTTTCCAGGTCACACCGCATGCATAGAGTCATGTGGAGGACCAGGATGCGACTGTTTTTTCTTAAGTTCGGGATGTTTATTCTATAGGATCTATTTGGAACCTGTTAATGATAAGGTTAATGATAAGGTGTACGAAATTTTTCACTGCAATAGATGGAGACAGGCCGCCAATATCGAGATCATACACTTCGAAGGCGCAAGCCAAAAGTTATCCTCAATAACGGAATATCTGACTCCCAATATTCCTAAAGCGTGGAGATCACTAACATTCACGCTGACATCTGTTTCTATACCGGTGTTACGTTAGGTGGACCTTTCATTTCGGACTTGACGCATACCTCTCTGTGGAAGGACAATATACTACCACCACTCCAACCGTATAGATGAGAAACATCAACGGTGACAAGACAGTCCCTTGAGGTACGCCATCAGGTACCGGTATTTGTCTGATAAATGGTGCCCAACCCTGTTTGTCGTATGTCGCTGGCACACTACTGTCGCTGGTAGGACTCATACCATTTCAGAAGCGACCCACATACCCAGAAATTTCAACTTCAGCAGCAACTTCGAATGACAGACTCGATCGAAAGCCTTAGATAGGTCTATGTACGCAACGTCGACTGCTTCGCCTTTGTTTCGGGACAGGGACCAGTGCTGTCTAGAAGGTTATAGGAGGTTGAAGCTCCTTTGAGGAATCCGCGTTGCTCAGTTGGGATGACTTTGAATCTTTGGAGCCAAGCTGTGAGCTTTAACTCTTATCAACCTTTCCATAACTTTGGCAGGTGCTGGAGTAAGGCTAATAGGGCGAAAGTCGGAGAGCAGGGAGCTTTTAGGTATTTTAGGAATAGCAGAAACGATAGCTTCTTTCCAAAGAGCAGGTACCTCGCCTAGAAGCATCGATATGTTGAAGACGTGAGCTAGGGGCTGACACAATGAGGTAGCACACCTTTTATAAACGATTTGTGGTATGCCGTCGTAACATTCAGAAGTGGACGGTTTAAGGGATTTCAAGACTTTCAAGACGTCGTTGGGGTGAAAGAAGACCTCGGAGAGGCAGTGGGAAATACGGTCGAGTCTGTCAGCTCGAACTACGTCAGTGTCGTTACTATCGGAGAAAACGCTAGCAAAGTATGCCCCCAGGGCATTAGCTTTTTCCTTGTCCGATACAAACGTGCGACCAGTAGAGTCAGAAAGAACTGGTAGCTGTGGGCGAGCTTTAGCTCTCAATTTGATATATTGGAATAAGCTCTTCAGGTTGGATTTAGCTAGTATTCGTTTTTCTTTATTGACGAGAAATTTTTGATATGATAGCTCAGATCAGAGCACACTTTTTTATAGGAGGAGTCCGTAAAGGGAGAAGTACCGGCTTGAAAGAGTCTATCTTTTCTGAGCTATCAAGTTCCTGATATGAGGATTGACTTTATGGAACGTATGTTGAGGATGTTTAAAAGGAACGGTTAGAGACATTATCGTGTATATTTGCGCGCAAAACCTTTCATAAACTTCAGATGCAGAAGTGTAATTATCGAAAACATTGTACCAGTTGATGCTCCGTAGGTAAAAGTTCATTTTGTTATAATCTGTGTTGATGAAGTCAGGAGTGGGAAGGACTTCAACTGGCAACGTTTTCTGACGTACACTAAAGGCAACGACTTGTGATCAGAACTAGCGAAAGGGGAAAGTACCGTCACATTAGAAACGATAGGCTCAGTAGATAAGATATAAGAGGAGATTTAAGCAGATAAGGAAAGAAGATTTGAGCTCGGCTTCGCAAACGTTTACAGGAAATGTACGACCCATATCACTCCGCCGGAATGACCTGATCATTTTGTTTGGTCGATTGGCATACCGCACTTCCTTCGCGAAACATTGCTGTAGAGGGTCACACAATAACCAGTAGGTAGATCAGAACACCCCAATCCGAACCAAAAAGTAGAATCCTGATTCAAGATGAAGTTTCAAAAATAGGGATAGAAATGTTTCCCATACAAAAAAGGGGAAGTCTCTTATTTTCAAACGATTCGCTATGAGACAGTTTACCCCAAGCATTTCCTCTAACTATGCAAACTTCTTCCCAATTAGGGTATCAAGAAAGACCTATTGGTAAACGATTCGTCGTGGACCTCATTGAGCTCGACCGTGCGCCATGTTTCCGTGGCAGATTTTTCTGATGTCGTTCAAGACTAAGGCTGCATGAAGTTTTTTATCCACTTGAACATGCTACAATTCTCACTTGGGAGCATTCGTTTTGATTTGAGCAAAATATGACTGAATCCATTTAAATCTGGCCCCTCTCCTCGAAATTAAGAATTGACAAGTAAGATTTGACAAAGACACTGTAGACGTACGCTAAACACTGAAATCCAAATCCAAGTTGAAGTCTGTTCCACTGTCAAAGCGAATTTTGTAGGCTTTGTTCTATGAATTATTTGGTCTCTAAATACATCTCGATTTCAAGGCGTTGTTTCCAGAAAAGGCGACTTTGAACTCCATCTCAAGTGTCTCCAACTGTTGCTACACCACCTTTGTCTCACAGCTGTCACGCAGAACACAATTAGAAGTAGCCGAAATCATGTTAAAGTAACTCACCAAATCGCTAGCGACATTAGAGGTCTCATCGGATGCAAGCACACACAGATTTAGAACGTTGCCGAGTACACCGAGAGTGAATTGCAAGGGGAACAGATACTGCCATAGCCATCTGTAAGCAGCTTTATTTATCATGTTACACTCAGCGAAACATAAAGAATCACGAGCACAAAAACACAAGGAATTTACTTTACGATGTGTAGCGTGTGTTTGATTTTTCAGCAGTCGCTAGGATTGCTTTTATATTGACCTAGTTGCTGTGGATTAGTACTGCTTAATATTTTTCGCTTTCGTTACGCTCGTTTCGGACTGTGTATTATGGTTTCATTTCTCTGCGAGCAATCCTGGGCGTCAGCGGCCTCTCCCCAGATTTCACACATTTGAAGGCACAACGACAGGCTCATATGTTTACTTGAAACTTCGATGAACTGGATAGACTTGTCCACCAACAGTTGTCCCGTTCTCTCGGATCACTAGTGCTTGAAGAAGGCACTAGGCCTTGCCAAAGCTGCTCAGACCGCTTCTATTTCTATTCTTCGCGAAAAGCTGGTCTCAGCGCCCTCTCACACCATTGCTCTGTCGCCCCATCTTCCCTCTCCTCTACGCCTAGTGCCCCACTCCCTCAGTACAGTCGAATTGAATTACAGGTACGAGTAAGCCCTCAATTCTAGCGCTTTTGACCGATTGTTTTCCTTTCTCTCTGCTTCCAACCTACATACAATGGCAATTTTATCGGAATATATTCGTTAGCCTTCTAGAAGTTGTATCGCGATGCAGTACATCAGTGAGCATTTCACGGTACTTGCTCGTAAAGAAAGTTGTTCACGCCTCCATGAACATGTCATCACTTCCAGGAAGCTGCTTGCAAGCATAGTGTGAGTCATGAAGAGGAAATGTGATCATACCGCCGCTATTAGGCCACCATTTTTTATTTCCCCAAGGCTAACCATCCGCTGGCAACGAAGAACGAGCTCATGTGTGTGTGGTTTAGAAGGGAAAAGTCTTCGAAGAGGAGATGGACGGTGTTTTTACGAAAAAATGTAGGGCAAGCGAGTTTTTGTGAAGAGGGAGAGTTTACTAAAAGAAAAGTATCCAAAATAATGCTCGCAACTTACGGGTCAGCCATCTCGTGGTTTCCCCCAAAGAACCTTGCGTTTGCTGATATAAGATATTTGATACACAAAAGGCAAATTTCGATCAAAACACCCTTGAATAATGCTAATTTTCCCAAGTAATGCAATCTAAAAAACGGCCGCCTTCTGAGAAGCGAAAATTCGGTGCTCACTGCTTTGCATATGTCGCTCAAAACACTATTTTACCACTTCACATAAGCAAACGGAACCAAAGTGCATCTTGCATTCGCGAGCTTGCCAGTTCTTGAAATAATCAACCTACAAGCCAACTGAAGCACTGCAACCGGAGTATTTTGGTTAAAGGCATGCCCCAAGATCAAACTGACGGGGTTCTTGCACATTAGCCGATAGTAAAGAAAAAAGGAAAGTTAAAAACTCTCAGGTTAAGCACGCCCCACTTCGTAATCAGTTGTTAAAGCAATGAGAGACTAAGCGCGGAGAGGAGAGTATGAGGCGAGAGAGCGCAACAGATGAGAGGGCGCCAGACAACAGCCTGATAAAGAAAAAACTGCAGCTGCAGCAGCTTACTTTGCAAGGCCCTAGCGCTCTTGTCGGTTGATTTCCGTGCACGAGAATGCCACATCTGTGATTGTCCTCTAGGGTCAGTCCTACAGGAGGGAATCGTTCACACGACTCCTGCCTGGGTTGTGCCTTAAATAGTGAAGCATACTTTTTGGAGAAACCAGGGTACCACCAATCTGATTTGATTCTGCTCGCACTTCCGACAACTCCTATTCTTTTGCGCTTACAATTAGTCGTTTCAGAAGCAAGTGTTTGAAGATATCAATTCTGCCATGCAACATCGACTTTTCGGCAGCACTAAGGACAACATAGAAGGTGCCTGATGTTGAATAAATCTTCGTGGAGATGCGCCACGTTTTCGGCGCCTTCGCTAGTAATGGACGCATTCGAATACTTGAGTCTAGGTTATGGGTTATGGGGCAAGTTGATCCACATGGCAATTTCAGTCTTCTCAGAAGAGTTTGATTAATCCTTGAGGAGCAAGCAACTTTCCCGCCGAGAATGATTAGGACTGGGATCTGAACTGTGAATGTTAGGGCATTGCTACTTGCCGGCTTCCGTCTTCTCGTACATGCAAGGCTTCTATTCTCTTCATAGAGTTCATTAGTAGGGAGAATGCAAGGAAAGGTCGTACCGAAAGGACATATTTCCTCGGCGGCATGGCTCATCTTGATCGAAAAGTCTCTCACAGGCAGAAGTAGTGAAAGGACTACTATTTAATTTTTAAGCAAAGATTGGAACAGAACACAAGCAACAGTGCAAATTCTTATGGAAATACCTCGTGAGAGGGTCGTGGACGAATCGTAGTTCTGCGGGTTTCAGGCACTGCATGCATCGGCGACTGAACCAGCGGTTGACGTACGGACGAACACGGACGGCTAAGCGGCTGTTCGGTATGCAAAACTTCAACCAACACTACCACGTGCACTCAACTCACTCGATACAGTCGATCAGTCGTGCTCAGCTCAATGACCGATTCTGAAAATCAATAATCGATCAGACCAAATTTTGAAAATTTCCGATGAGGCTGCTCGATCAAACTCGTGAAGCGCAGAGGTCTGTGTAAGGATTGAACTCAAAACTGAACAGAAGTTTGCTGAAAGTGCCTTGCGAGGTTGTTCGGTGGAACATTTATTTCAATGGCCTAACGTTTCGACTGAATCGTCGTCTTCAGAGGCCGACGGTTCCACCGTATGAGCGGAAAAGTCCGCTGCCACGTTAGAGCGCTAGTCAGCCTTGCAAATCCGAAGCTAAACAGAAGCAAATAAAGGGCTTAACAAAAAAAGGCTTAACAAAATAAACGGAAGCGAACATCTTTCAACCTTGAAGCTGGAGTGAAGTTCTTGCCTGTAGCTAAACAATGGAGGGAATGGGAAATGGTGAAGGGCTATTGAAATGTTAACCAATCGACGAGCGCCGTCATGCATACGCTGCGGCACCTTGCTCCAAGTTTTTTCACTCGAAGGTATGGGATCTCTAATCAATTCATCACTGGTAAAGAACACACTGTTCTTTGAATCCAATAATTCAAATGGACTGCTACGAAACACCGAGAAATATCAAACAAATCGAACAGAGTGAGCCTCCTCTTGTAAAGGTACGGCCGGCGGAAACAGGGGCGGGATTCTCATTGGGTTGATGTTATGGTGATATATTAGGTTGGTAACTTTGAAATGTCGTTTTGATCAACGATTATTTTAAGTACAAAAGCTGTATCAAAGCACATCAACTCAAATTACCTCCTGTTATTCACTCACTCTTCACCTTCAGTTGAAGGCAGCGATTACGATAAAGAGGGAGCGCATCGGGGAAGCATATGCACCACACGAATCAGTTACTTGGCTGCCAGGGAAGCGAGGTGTAGCGCTTTCACGACGAAGGTGCGCTGGTTGCTGAGCAGGACTTCGAAAGCACTCCGCCCCAAAAGCGATCCGCCCACTAGTTTAGTTGGTGATTTGGACGAGCTGCGTTGCCAGCAGCGGCACAACTGAGCAACTGGATGTAGCATGGATTACATAAAAGGATAAAAGATAAAGCATTTGCCGTTGATCAATCCCTTTTTGGGATGCGGCACGCATTCTACTTCCATTTGTACATTCGTAGTGGCGTTTGAATGCGATGTGGCCTATACAATGACTTGCGGGGGCCAGCCGATGTACAAGTCAGTGTTTTTATCCTCCCAGACAAGTCTGGTACCAATTAACCGACCCCGGAGGGATGGAAGGCTTGGTTGGCCCGGGCGACTCACGACCCAGGATTTGATCCCCGGACCGCTCGCGTGGTAAGCGTGCCACTTGCCACTACACCACTTCCGCCATGGATTGCATGCTGTCACCAAACGCGTTGCGCTGAACTCGTTCATACGTCCGCTTTCTGAGCTGTTACCTGTTCATGAGTGAAAACTAACGGCCAAAAAAGGGGTCCCGTTTTGCGTTTTCTTGACGGATTTCTCTGCTTTTTTCGCCACTGGCGTACCATTGAGCACCACCAATCTATCGTAATCAGTGCCTTTGAGCAAATCGTGTAGACCTACTTTATAGAACTCCTTCAGGTACGACTCGAAGAGGTTAGGTACTCAAATTTTGACATTAGCGCAGTTATTGAATTAATTTACTGCCTAAGGAGGCGTCGAGGCATTGACCTGGCTCAAGAAAGAAAAAAAAGAACGGACAGCTCGCGGACGGCGCCAGATCCGTTATTACGTTACACATTCTAGCCCAACTTCCCGAGATTTTGTAGCGTAACTTTCGCGACACGTGGTCTTGCGCCATCGTGCCATACTTTTAGAATATCATGATTTCCCACTTGACGAGCGCTTGCCCAACGCGGGCTGGGTGTCGTGCGCAGGGTTCAGCTGTAGATGTATGACCAACAATCAGCACTCCATAGTGGGCTGGCCCTATGCTTTTTGAAAAAGGACTTTTTCTGACGTCAGTCTTTCATTACTCATCCTTAGCTGTCCATCTGCTTCCACCAGGGTCAACCCTGCGTTGCGCAAATTCCCAAATTTTTACGACCCCCTTCCTTTTCGGGGGGTATCGGTACGACCCCCCATATTAACTATCATGTCTTTCACATAATTTAATGCTCATCAATGCTCATCAATGATGGCAGTCACCAACATGGAGAAGTGGTGGACCGTGGTCAATCCGCGCGCTTTGTCTCGCTCAGAGGAGGAAATCGAGGCAAATGAAGTTTTATTCATTAAATAGAAGGAATTTTTGCGTAAACCAATACATCATTTTAATCGTAAAGATTTCTACTTTCAGAAACCCACCAGGATTTTTTCGATCTCTCAACTTTCCTTACCTTATAATCTGAAAACTAAACCTTGTAGCAATTACATTGCAATCCAAACCCCTCCATTCAGAAGGTTATATTTTCTTTCAGAAGCTGTTTCATGAAATCGGACACCAAAATTTGAAAAATATAAATAGTTTTCTTCCTGAGGAGTATTTGAAATGTTGTGGATGTTCAATATTTCAAAAAATCGTCCCGTTGTTCCGTTTTCTGTGCACACGCGAGTTTTTGACATTCAAACATTCATAACTTTCTTCATAATCAACTTTTTGCAAATGTCTAAGGCTAATTAGAAACTAGAAGATTAGAGCTTTCGAACAAGCACCTGAAAATTTTCCAGCGATCATTTTTTCAAAAAATAGTCCCGTTGTTCCGTTCTTGGGTGGTTTGGGGTCCGATTTTTGAGAAGGCGCGAGTTTTCGACATTCAAACGTTAATAACTTTCTTCATACTCAACATTTTGCAGATGTCTAAGGCTAATTAGAAACTAGAGGATTAGAGCTTTCGAATAAGTGCTAAAACTTCTTGAAATAATCACTCGCTCAAAAAATAGTCCCGTTGTTCCGTCAATTCCACCTTGATTTTTTTCAAGCCTTTTTCCTGGACCGCGACTATGCAGTCTTTAAAGGCCCATAACTTCCTTTGAAATTAATGTGATGAGAAGCGGTAAAGATTGTTGGAATCCACTCGAAGAGTACTTCATAACAACTGTGAAATTTCCCTGAAATTCCTTCTTCTGCCTCAATTTTCCTACGGCGTCTCTAGAACTCAATTCAGCAAATTCGCTACACTTTGTTTCGCTTAGATTTTATTTGAAAGCATCGAAAACTCTCTTCAGAAAGTTTGTCTGCTTACGGCCGCTGACAGAGGAGGCGTTTTTATGGAAAACGCCTCGGGTATACGCCGTGCACCTATCTGTGGGCAGAATTCGCACTCGCATTTGAAAGTCTTCTGTTTTCCTGAAGAAGGTGTTAGTATCCTGATTGAGTTGTATTGTGCTGTTATATGGCACTCTTGTTTCACTTTCCCATGAACTGCTCTACACTTTGTTCTCCTCGGGATTTCAGGAATGTTTCATCATCGAAGACAGACCATGTTTTTGCACTACACTGTAACAAAGTTTTTGGCTATTGTCTATTGTACTCTTGATCTATGCCGCGGAGCAAAAGCGCGCCGTCGGGATAGCGTCGATTAAGGATAATAAGCTGATGGTGAGACTTATAGTGCTCTGCATGCTTTAATGCTCCCATGGAGCTCATGTCTGTGTGACTCTCCGACAGCGTGCAGAGCTCCTGGAGAACATTAGAGGCTGAAAGTGCACTCCCGGACACTGCACTTTTCAAGCCGTCTTGCAGCCCGTTTGTGGATACGACCCCCTCCCTTTTCGGTCGGCTGAATACGACCCCCTCGTTGTTCTTTGCGCAACGCAGGGTTGACCCTGCCTTCCACCGCGGCATCTCTCACTTTGTGACGGCGAACAACCTATGGTGAACTGCGCTTACAACGAAACCTAGAGCCTTCATACTATAGGAGTTATGAAAGAGAGTTCCAGTATTGGCAACCAGTACTGCTTGCTTGTGTCGCTGAGATTCAACCGAACCCGATTTCTACCCTGAAAGGCCTCATCAGTTGCACGTAGATACTTCAAGTTCCACTGTTGACACGGCAAACCTCCATAAGTGTTTGTTTCTGTGTAGTTTGACGAGAGCTCAATTGGTTGGCTTTCTCAATTCTTCATTTCTACAGGTACAGGTCAATATCCACGCTCTTCGTCCTCAGTCCTTTACCTCAGTCTTGGAAGAGCTGAAACCATAGCTGAAAGTGCACCAGAGACTAAGTGTTGCTGCTCAATGTTTTGCACACAATGAGTGAGATTCGTTGGCCGTTTTTCCTTGCTTGAATATATACGCTCAGACGATGTTTTCTGATCAATCATCTTCGAGCAAAAGTTTTGGCTCGAAGAACATCCGCTCACTGGCGCCTAAGATTTCGCAATATGCGTGCTGAATCGCTCTCTCGAATG